CATCTCATCTTACAACTGCGTTACCTCTTTACTGTTTTTAAAAGGAAATTGAAGGGATGAAAAAGAAAGAATTAAATAGCGCCGGGTATAAAATCCATCGTTCGAAACCCCGATACTAATCGTAACAATCGTATTCCATTCCAGGAAAAAGGAAGCGTGGATAATGCAAACAAAGGAGCTTTTATTAACCGCGAAAACGGTTATAAAATTTTCTCACGGAAACCATGTCGTAATCGTAATACTAATAAATACTCGATTACAATTATTATTTCTTCTTCCGATGCAAGCTTAATTTCGCGCAATTCATCCGAGGGCGTGTTTCGAGCTTAACGTTAAGAGGAATGGAATTACGTGGAATTACGTGCAATAGTCTTTCGTAACGCGCAAGTTTACTCTAATTCCAATTCACGTGTGCGATTAATAGTTGAAATTTTATTGCAACGCCTCGCGTCATTTCATTCCTCTTCAAACAAGCCGAAGAAAAATCCGTATAATAATATTTCCATATGAGGAAGATATTTCGCCATTCGTTCCGTTACTCATTCCATTCGTGATTTTGCAAAATTGCTCGGCTCGAGATTAATTTTTTGCAATTTTGAAAGATCGGCGATCGTTTTCAAAGAATGGATTTACAAGCATCGACATCGAAAGGGTTTCGCGTGCAGTTCTATCGATGTGTTTTACATCATTGAAAATACACGCTTTTTTTCGAATTCAGAAACAGCTTTATCAAAGATTTTTCTATAAATTATGTTCCCTACATTCTTTTTTTTTTGTAGAAGGTATGTAGAATTTCTGGACGATGATGCAAACGAACGTAGAACGAATTAAACATAAGAGGAGGGAGAAAATGTTGAAATATTCTTACCGTGTATTTAATTATTACAGCGTTTGTACCGCAAAATGCAGATGAGTGGAGGAGTTGCGTTCAAAACGAGAAATAAAATTTTATGTAAAAGCAAAAAATAATTCATTAAACGTGTTGTAAATATATTCTCCTGTGAAGGAGGACGAATTTGATTTCAACGAGAACGAAAAATTTCTTCCATACACATATAATATAATATTGAAACCACATAAACTAGAGAGAGGAGGATTGAATGAATCCGACTATCCGAATAATAATAATAATTTTAATCTTAATTATACTGGGCCGATTCTCGACATCCCATGGCAAACTTGAATTCGTGGAAATCGTACGTACGATTAATTTACTGGTCGGCGAGAAATGACCAAAGAGGAACGATGCACGGAGCGATAATTCGTTCGGAATGTATAAACAGACGCGCAGGGGAAGGTGGAAGGTGGAGAGAAAGAGAGAGAGAGAGGCGAGTAAAAGCGGGAGGAAGCGTTTACGGGGATATCCCCGTTGTTATGCGAACCGTGTGCATCGTTATGCATCTTTAATTTAAGTCGAATCATGATGAAATTCCAGAATGTGGCAAGATCATCCTTGGTCCCAACGCCTCAGTCCCGATATTCGGGGAATGCGAGCAGCGTCGGGGAGCGCCGTCTTAGTGGCTTGCGGAGGAGAAGCTCTGGCTCATGTTCAAACTCATAAATAATTCCGTTTGTGATCGTGGGCGTAGCAGTTGTCGACTCGGATGGAAGGAGGAGACAAACCGAGATGCGGGTACGTACACGTGGTGACGCGTACCCCCCCCACAGAATCCGCCAGCTATTGGCAACGGCCTGCCAAAATACAATCCGCTTCCCTTCCTCTTCCACGCGAACTCTTAACTCTTCCCCTCCCTCCCCTCTCTTCGGAATTTATTCGGTGGCGAAAATCAAATTTTGTATCAGGGCACACGAGATTTGAAATGGTTTTCGAAAGGTGTTCGAAGCTTTTTGAAATTTGTAACGATAAGGGTGTGGGGTCATCGTAGATTCGATACACGACGGTAGGATAGGGAAGAAGTGTAGGAAATACCATCCATACTCGGTTCATTCGATCGGATAGAAATTGGCAGTTAGCGATCGGCGAACAATCAGGCTTAGTTTGAGCTAGAGGCAATCTAGATTCTACTCTGAGCGAAAACCAATCAAGTTTCTAGTCAGCTGGAATCAGAATCAGGATTCGATTCGGATCAGAATAAGGTCAATCAATTACCGTCCCACCGTATTTTATTGCTCGTTTTTTCGAATACGATCAAGAATAGAATAGAAGATGGATTAGCTTTTTAAGCAAATTTGAATCTATGCGATAACCGATAATTTAAGATAATTCTTAACGATTTAATTTCAACCGATTTTTTCCCTCGCCTCTTCAAATCGATCTTTTGAAATTTTATTTATAAATAAAATCGAAATCGAAGAAGGATAATTTATACTGGATTAAATGGATAAAATATTTTATAGATTATATCGAACATCGATGTACGAATTTATAAACGCATCACGCATATACATATATAATATAAATATCCGAACGATGATCGCGTAACTTTTTCCTCTGAAAAATCGTAAATCAAGCATTGGCCGCGAGTTAACGACCCCCTCCCTGTTAATTAATTTCCAATTCGTCGAGAATTAAAACAAGAATCGAATCAACGAAATCGTTAACCGGTTTTTAACGCGATATTGCCATATTCGATCCACACGCACACCCTCCTCTCCCCTCCCTTCCCCTCCTCACCTCCCTCCATAAGAAAACGCACGCTATATACATCCATTTTTTTTCATACCGCTCGCTCACCCAGTCACAGCTAATTGAATTGTGAATTTCATGGAATAATGAAACGCAATCGAAAAGCGATACAACAAGGTTCCATCAAAGAGAAAGAAGAAGAAGAAGAAGAAGAAGAAGAAGAAGAAGA